TGGTGGTGGTGGTGGTGGTAGTGGTGATGGTCAGGGGATGGTGGGGTGGGTTCATTGCAATAGCTTCTTGATAAGTTTCGTAGACCTTTCTCTGCCCTTTCCATTTCTAATATATTTGCCATTTATCACTCATTCATGAAATATTATTTCCTATTTTTTGTTAAGGCATGGTTCTAGATGTTGGTGATGTAGCACTGGACAAAACTGAAAACAACTTGGCTCTAATGGAACTTACACTTAAGTGCAGAAAAACACTAAACAATTGCCTTATTTCTTACATAGATGTCTACTGTTAGGAATCAAGTGTTCTGTTTGAGGTAGTAGTCTTATCAGTCAGCTAAGTGGAACTGTCCGAGAAAGATTGGTTTTACTGAGCCCAGAGTCCAGAGAGAGAAGTTGGAACTGGAGACATAGTTCAGGAGTCTGTTGTAAATAGAAATAGAAGATATTTAAAGCCCTTGGTCTAGACGAGATCTTCTAGAGGGAGAGAATGCATAGAATGAAGAGGGTCAAGAATGGAACCGTAATGTCCTGTGATTTATATAGATCAAGCAGAAGAAAATGAGCTAGTAAAAAACTGTGAGAAGGAATGGTCAGTGGGGTAGGAGGATAACCTTAAACATAAAGTAACCTAGAAACCAGGCTGGGAAAGTGTTTCCGGGAAGGCACATAACCAACTGTATTCTATCTTGCTAAGGGTTGTCAAGTATAATGTTATCATGGATAAAAATACTGGGTTTGGGAACATGGTGGTCACTAACAGCAGCAGTTTCATTGAAGTCCAGTGTTTATTTTCAAAGCTGGGTGCTTTTTATAGTATGCATGCATGCGTGTGTGTGTGTGTGTGTGTATTATTAGTATTATGTAATAATTGTACGTTTCCTGATTCTTCCTAAAAACTAAAGATAATTCTAACTTCTTCTGGCATGATATTAACAAACTTGATTGCAGAAATTTCCTAAATTTTTCTTGAATTTCACAGAACAGAGATTATATGCTTCAACATCATAATGGCATTTATAAATATCTTTAAAAAATAAATTTCTCTTAGTTCTACCTTAACTGTTATCTTCCAAGGCAGGTAGCTCTGCACACTCCATGAGAACCTAATTGTTACTCTCAGTCTTCTGAGACCTCAAATCTTAGGGCTTTCCCAGTGATCTGCCACCCTGCCCTGTGTTTTCTTTACTCAGCTCGTATGGGGTTCTTGGATTTTCAAATTGGGACTTACCAACCAGAATATCAGCCGACACACCCAATTCTACCACAAAAACTGCATTAAAAATGTGCTGAAAATCTTGACTTATACACAAGTGTATAATGGTATTGACTTTTTAACTCAGTCTTTATATCTATATGGTAAATAAAAACAAAACCTCACAAATGCATTGCTTTGCGTCAATTCCAGCTTAAAGTGACCCTATCGGAGTCAGAATTGTCGGTCGGGTTCCCGAGGCGGTGAATCTTCCCGGGAGCAGACTTTCACAGCTCTCTCCTGGAGAGCAGCTAGTATGTGCGGATCGCTCACCTTGTGCTTAGCAGCTTAGTGCTAGGCCACCGTGCAGCCGACCTGTTAGAATAGTGTTCAGATATGAGTACAGTCAGTTGGTTCTCAAGAAGCATCTTAATTATCTGGGTTCCTTTTTATATGTATAACTCATTTTGGATATGCATAATACTTTAAATGACTATTGTATGTTTCAGACAGAGCTTGAGAAGAAACTACAGCAGAAGTTAACACAAGCAGCGCAGGAACTGGCAGCAGAGAAAGAGAAAATATCACTGTTACAAAACATCTATGACAAAAGCCAGGAAAATCTGAAACAGCTTCAGTCTGATTTCTACGGGAAAGAGTCCGAGCTTCTAGCCATAAGGCAAGATCTTAAGGTATAGTAAACCATTTTACATCTTACAACACTCAGTGTGACATACATTAAGTGATTGGCTTGGATCCAAGTGAATGAGAAAATGCTAGCATTTATGGAATACTTTGGCTTTTTTCTAGCAAGTTAATATTTGGGATTATAACCCTTTTAAAAATCATTTTTTATTATTAGAAAATATTTAACTATAGATATTGTAAATAGTTTGAATCTGTAATAGAGAAATAATTTGGAAATATACCATTTACTACATCATATTGTATAAAGGTTGATTTATATGAGCTTACATAAGAACTAGTTAACATTTGGTCATTTCAAGTGGTCACATATGAGCAAGAAACAATGGTATTGAAGGAAGATATCCAAACTGCCAAAAACAAGACTCCAGGAATGTATGGAATACCAATTGAAATGTTTCAACAAGCTCATGAATCACTGGAAGTACTCCTATGTCAGGGCATTAGAAGACTTGGTCAGTTGACTGGAAGAGATTCATATTTGTGCCCATTCCAAAGAAAGGTGACCCAACAGAACGCTCAAATTATAAACAATTTGTTCCTTGTTATCCCATGCAAGGAAACTTTTTCTGAAGATCATCCAACAATGGCTACAGCAGTACAGTGACAGGCAGCTGCCAGAGGTGCAGGCCAGATTAAGAAGAGAATTTAGAGCAAGGGGTCCCACTGCTGACATCAGATGGATCTTGGCTGACAGCAGAGAATGCCAGACAGCTGTTTACTTGGCTTATGTTGACTCTACAAAGGCATCTGATTATGTGGAGCATAACAAACAACTGTGGATAACCTTGAGAATGGGAGTTCTAAAACATGAGCAGGTCTCATGCCAGACTTGTACTTGGATGAAGAGGCAGTTGTATAAATGAAGCAAGGTTTATATGAATCAGGGTTGTATCCTCTCACCATACTTATTCAATTTTATGCTAAGGAAATCATCACAGAAGCAGGGATTATATGAAGAAGGAGGTGGCATTGGGTGGAGGAAGGCTTATTAACGACCTTCCATATGCAGATGACATAACCTTGCTTGCTGAAAGTGAGGAGGACTTGAAGCACTTGATGAAGATCAAGGATTGCAGCCTTCAGTGTGGACTACAACTCAATGGTATAGAAAATCCAAATCCTCACAACTGGCCCAGGAGGTAACATCATGGTAAATGGAGAAAAGATTAAAAATTGTCAAGGATTCTGTCTTGCTTGGATCCATAGTCAATGTTCATGAAAGCAGCAGTCAGGAGATCCAACAATGCACTGCATTAGGTAAATCTGCTGCACAAGACCTCTTGAAACTGTTGAAAAGCAAGGATGTTACTTTGATAACTAAGGTAGGTGCAACTGACCCAAGACGTGGTATTTTCCATTGCCTCTTATATATGTGAAAGTTGGACATTGAATAAAGAAGACTGAAGAGAAATCAATATATTTGATTGTGGTGTTGGGGAATATTGAAAGTACCATAGACTGCCCAAAGAACAATCAAATATGTCTTCGGAGAAATACAGCCAAGGGTGTTCCCTAGAGGCAAGGATGGTAAGACTTCATCTTACGTACTGTAGACACGTGGTCTGGAGAAGGATAAAGGAAGGCCCTCAACAAGGTGGATTGACACCGTGGCTAGTGGGCTCCGACCGAAGAACAGTTGTGAAGACCGTGCAGGCCTGGGGAATGGTTCATCTGGTTGTACATGGAGTGGCTGCTATGTTTCGGATCGGATTCGATGGCACTTACCCACAACATACCCTTTATGTGAAAACCAATTTAAAAATGGCTGCTGTTTGAAAAAGCTAAGAAATTTAAAATATAAAGTACCTGTGAAAATGTGAGCAACGTTGTCAGGCAATACTAGCATTAGTTTTACATGCTTCTCTTTTCTCTAAGATTACTTAAATACTTAATGAGTAAAATAAGATTATGGTTCAAAGTAAATTTAACCTTAAATATTCAACTATGTAGGGGAATCTACCCTTGACATTACTATTTGATTAGAGAAGGGGTCATATTTATTAAAATTGAAGGTATAGAAAGTGGAAAGCACTTACTTAATATAGTATGAGACATCAGTTCTCTAAGAGACATGGAACATACTACCCTCTCATAGAAGTTTCAGCCAGATTTTTTTTTTGGGGGGGGCTGTCAGGTTGAAATAAGTTTCCTCCTTCTATTCCGTGCTTGTTTATTTTTTTACTCAGAGTATACTATTGCAAAAATATGTTGGAAATCATAAAATACTAGAATATTATGTGCATATACACATACAAACACAAAGGACCTTCAAAAGTTCATGAAAAGTAGAATTAATGTTTTCCCACAAACATTTGAAGTCCCCTCATATATGTCTTATCTACAAGCTGTTAATGGTAAGGTTTTAAGAAGGAGGTTGGACTTAATTGAGTCCTACAGGAAATACAGAATTTGAATACATGCAGAGTTCTGAGAAATGTTATTCAATTCAGGGTACATTTAAGGAAAGGTGCTGCAGGGGGAATGAGCAAGGGCAGAAGATATTAAATGAAAGAACAGCAAGAATTGTTAAGAAAAAATACCACCTAAATATTTAGGTAATGCCTATTTGCTCTTTACCCTTATGTAGCTTTATTATACTATTTTTATTATTTTATGACATTATTGAAAAGAAGGGCAGAGTTATAGAGGAATTTGGACTCTATCCTAAAGACAATGGAACACCCCCCCCACCCCCCCAACTATGTGCTCAGGTTGTATTGAGGCAAGTGCCTGGCTGGGATAAGGAATGGCTTGTGGAGGAGTATGCTGCATGTAGCGAGGCAGACCAGAGGGAGACTTGAACTGATAACGGCAGTAAGGATGGAGAAAATGGGAAGGATTGAAAAGATATGGAGATGCGAGAAGAGGTGAACCTTGATTGGTTATAAAAGTTCTGTGGGAATTATACTTTCCATATTGGGTGTTATTTACCCAAGAATATGACATATTGATAGGACTTAAGTCTCTTAAATCTATAGTATTTTATGAAAGCTAAAAGGCACTGTCATGAAGTCAGTTCTGACTCCTAGCAACCTTTTAGGATGGAGTAGAAATTCCCCTGTGGGTTTCTGAGGCTGTACATCTTTACTGGAGTAGAAAGTCACGTCTTTCTGTTAAGTCTGAAAGCTACATCATCTAGCAATTTTATTCATGAATGGATGTTTTAAATATAAATATGGGCAAAAAGCAAAAGACAGGTAAGGTAAGGCTGTTCGAGTTGTAGAACTGTTGAGAGGCCTCGGATAGGTGCACCATCCCAAAGCTCTCCTAGGACAGATGAGGAGATCCAGGCCCAGTCTGAAAGCCCAGGGCCCCACAATAAGAGAAGTAAAGTTACATCTCAACTCATAGGCCTTTATTATTATTATTATTATTATTTTGCTACTAGTTCATCAGAATTTTGTTGTTATTGACAAAATAGAAAATGGATAAATTCCCGATTGGGTTCTAAAATGAGAACTATTAAAAAAGTTAATAAAAAGAGCTAGAGAGAGAAAAATCCCTAGGAACGTTCGAGTGATATTTATGTGCCAGGACAAGAAAGATTTATCAACTATGAATTTTCTTTTGCTTCGGTGATATATTGTTGTATACAAGGAAGAGGGAGGTTCAGAACCATGTGATGTGACACCTACCTTAAGTCTAGACCACCTTGGTTACACTCCGCAAACTGATTGAATGGAAGACACTCTGGTCTGATCTTTGCCTTTAGCACCATCTGCTGGATTATTTGCAAAATACTTGGTTGACTGTACAGTATTTCAAACTGGCTATGTAGTTAGTGAAGAAAAGGGTAGAAATGTAAGAGTAACTGTAAATTTTATACCCCGTGTGAAATGAAAATTCCAGGATAATTAGTTTGGAAGTAAATATGGATCTTTTCCTAGTATACTGCTATATGCTGCTAAACGACAGAGATTCATGTCCAGAGGCAGGTAGTGCAACGTGTTTTGACATCTTCAGAAAAACTGGGTCAGTCAAGATTTTGAATTTGACTTTCAACAATGTGCAAGAGTTTTGTGAGTTTAAAATTGTGTAGGTTTCCACTTTAAACATGGTCATTTTGGAATCCGTATGGTTAGCAATCAGAGTTGCTTTCTAGGTTCTAACCACCCCTAAAGTTCTTTAGCATTATATCCAGACCTCTATAATCTAATTACCGTTGCTGTAGGTTATATGGACTAGGCTTTGTTAAATTTTATTCTTTTTATGTGAAATCACCCTTGCTCTTGGGTCAGTTGTCACCTATTCCACACATACGTCTACAAGCCACATTCCACAGACAACCCTCACACTCATTATTTATTTGAGGATTTGTCACATGGCATGTATGCTATTACCTTGCTTAGCTTCCAGTTTACCTGTTTGTTCTGTTTATCAAGCTACCTAGAAGCGCCTATAAATCAAGATCTGTCCAACACCCTACTGTTCTACCATAACAATTGACCCAGTTACTGATTAGCAAACTGATTGATAAAAAAGTATATGACTTCAGGTGTTTTCTGGGTAAAACCAAAAAACCTTAACCTCTCTTAGTGTTATACTTGCTGCCTTGGAAATGTACACGTAATTTACAACCAAAAGACTTCTGAATTGTGTTATTTGAAGAAGTAATTTTGGACTTGTAGGAATCTTTAGAAGTCCCTTCAATAGTATTCATTTATTTATACCCCTTCTTTTAAAAATTGAATTCTTACTTTGCGATGTACAAACCAAACAGATGGGGTTCCTTTTCTGAGCTGTATCTTCTGCCTCTTTTTCAAAAGACCCACATCGCTCAATAAGACAGAGCAGTTCATTGTAGATGGTGCATGTGCTTCTTAGAGTTGGTTTCTCTTCACTGCTGATTTCAGAACAGTAGCTGAGAGTGGCAGTGTTTCCTGCCATGCCCAGTACCCACTTGTCACCTTATCTACCTGAAATCTAGCCTTGTAGTCAAGGGCAAGAAGTTGCCTGGTACCCAACTTCAGATTCTTAGAAATAT